ACTTCCTACGAGCCGTTTACCATATCCTGGTACCCAGTTTAATGTCTCTCTAATCTAGTGATGGTCGGTTCTTCTGGCAACATGTCCTGGCGATTGCCACTTTCACCTCTTCACTGGCCGAAAACATTCTCTTCTAGTCACAAAGACAGTTTACTGGAGAAGAACATTTTCAATCTATCGCAGGTGCTGCGAGCTACTTTAATTCTTCTATTGATTTCACATAGTCGATTCTGCGTTGCAGAGATGAGTCGCTCAGGCAGGAATAGTTTTACATTTCTTCAAATCTGAGTCCGTTCACTTTAATAAGTTGTCTGGTCACAAGTTGTTAAACTTAACTTGAAGCTTCTTAAAGTTCATTTTCAATCCACTTAGATTCGTCATTTGAGTTCCACTGGTGCCCTTGAAATAATCAAAATGTCATCCGCAAATTGCAGGTGGTTTAAGTAGTGTCCATACGTTCAGCCCCTGATTTTCCCAAAAGAGTGTCATGTAAACCACTTCTAGTGCTTCAGTGAATAACTTCCGCGATGGGGCGTCTCACTGTCATACGCTCTTTTCGATCGATTTTTAAATTGCTTATGCTATCATGAACCTTCAAACAAGTACTCTTGAAAATCATGCCGATCAGGTTTATATATCGTTTCTCGAACCCACTTCTCCTCAAGTATACACATATGGTTCTACTACAGTACATATGGCAATCAAACCCAAGTTGTAAGAGAAAGTTTCGGCATCAAACTTTTAATATGAGCGAATACATATTACAGAAAAAACTTCAACAACGTAAATAACCCATAATCTAACTTTTTAAGTATTCATTCACAAATGAACTGCCTATTTCATGCTGTTTCGTACTTTCTTTTCATTACGCTCGAATCCGTATTGACCAGGGACAGTAAAACACGTCTGACTCTAGGTACTGGTGATAAGAACACCAAATATCCGAAAATAACGTTTCTATCCCGCCAGCTTTCCGTGGGACACATCCGGTAACTTCCGCAGGCAGCGTATATTTCCGGTAGCCTCCGCGGGTGAAACCGCAAAAATCTAACAAATTCACCCGACGCCGTTTCGGCACATCCAGAAGAGAAACGTATAGCAAGTGACAGACTTGCGAGAAACAGGGACATCATGGTATTTCGGTGCGGTCATAGAAGAACATATGGACGAGAGGTACGGCCAGGCTGTCCGATGGAAGCACACTTCGCTTTCTTAACCCATCGAATACTTGACGGTCGATAATCAGCACAAACGCATAACCCAAAAAGCAATTAATTAAATAAATATTCGTATTCGTTCATGGGCTTTGTTTCCCGATCCTTGATTTAAGGCAACAATTAAAAGGTAACAATTCATTTGTGCATTATTACCCTGATGATGACGGTAGATTAGCGTCGAAACGTGTCAGTAAATAATGGATTTGACATCGCCCCTTTTAACGTTGCCTTGCACCATGGACCTGGAAGCGAAGAGCATTCAAACAGGCAGTGAACACTCCTTCCATGCATAAAAGTGGTAATATATCTGAGTGTATGCTATCACCCATCGTTGCAAACCGTCTGCACCGATGTGTTAAATAACCATATTCACCAACAATGCCATTCCAAGCGTATAATCTTGATCATGGTTGTAATGGACTGAAATTAATTCGCTATCTAGTCCAAGACGGTCATTTTGTACTGTAGTACCATCTAAGCCTTAACATCGTATGC